TTTTTTAATTTATAATCATTCCTGATGGTAAGTGGTAACCATATGAGTCATAAATGTTACTGATGGAATTTTATAGGAATTTTACTTGTAAGTTATGGCGTTGTAACTGAAGATTTAAGGGCTTAAGTGCAGGGGCGCCGGAGCCACGGGGGCAGCGGGGGCAGCTGCCCCCATTGCTAAAACAGTGCGGGGGCAGCATGGGGGCAGCAGGTTGCCTTTTTTACCAGAACTGCACTTCGAACGTCGTGCGTTTTTCACATGAATTGAAATTGAAAACTGTTTTTAAACAATTTAGCTCATATTTGAATCTGAATTCCTCTCAGAAACGTTACCAATCAGTTTCCACCTATGAAAAAAAGGGAAAAAGAAAGCCTTCCTAAATAACTGACAACTGTCATGTTGCTTTACAATACATTTTAGTCTTTAGTGTCATGCAACGAATAAAAATGTTCCAATCCATGCCGAAATTTGTCTAACTGTATTAGCTACAAGTAATGAAGTACCCGTTATACGGAAAAATGTTAACGAACATTGACCCCCCCCCCAAAAAAAAAATTAAGCCTCAAGAGTAAGTGCCCTTTTTAAATGACTGCCCCCGCCGCTTCATGTTGCTTCCGGCGCCCCTGCTTAAGTGATTTCGTGTGCTTCGAAAACGTAATTTACATCACGAAACAAGAGAAGGTATCGATTTATTATTTAAGCCTGTTTTGGGGCGAATTTGTTCGCGCGAAACGAAAACCAAATTTCGGCAATGTAATCACATTAATCAGCGAAAAAATTCGCCGCGAAAAAGTTGGATCAGTTCCTACTCTTTTACTTGTCGCTTCGCGCGAACAAATTCGCCCAGTGGAAAACGTCATTCTAGTGATTGTCATCAGTGGCGCCGTGGCCGGGGGGGGTGGGGTGGCAGGGGGGGACATGGCCCTCCCCTATTGTTGACACCCGTCGGAAAATTGCCAATGCTGCCGGAAATTGTCGGAAAATTGTCGGAAAATCGACGGGGGGATGAAGATTTAAAATGTTGTCGTCTGGAAAACTTTTTGGTTTGTCGGAAAAATTTTTCGGTTTGTCGGAAAAGTACTGCCCTTGCCCCCCCCCCCAAAAAAAAAGAAACATGGGTTCCACGGCGCCACTGATTGTCATTCTACTTTCTGTTAAATATTTGTTAAAACTCAGTGTCCCGTAATTTTTACCGATTACGTATGACGTCATTGACATCAACGAATGTTTTCACGATTTCATGTTTGTCAATAGAGCCCCCCCCCGCCCCGCTTCGGTAAATTTAGTTCTACAGCACGGTGGAAAGCCTTGCAAAGTCTCTATTGCACTATTCGTCGACTATTCGTACTATTCGTCGACTATTCGCGGACTATTCGCACTATTCGTCGACTATTCGCGGACTATTCGCACTATTCGTCGACTATTCGCGGACTATTCGCACTAATTCGTCGACTATTCGCACTATTCGCTTCACTATTCTAGTTTTATCAATTGCCATTTATATCCTTTATATCCTTTCATAAACAAAGATTACAATTCTGCAATTAAGTTGCTATATTAAATAAATGTAAAAAATTATAATTAGGTCGCGCATTGTCAGAAACCGGAAAGTGTCAATTTCTCTGCTGAATATTTTGACGCGGGTTATATCAATAAACAATTGCTTTCTTATTAATAATAATAATTATAAACGCACGCCTATATTATATATTCCACCAACTTTTTGCATTCGCTTGAAAGTTTTAGTGACTTGATGATTAATATTTGACTTTCATGCGGATTCGGTTTTAAGATGTCTTCCATGTGTTCATTTTCCACTCGTATAAAATCTGAATGCGGCAGTCATTTGTGAGTGTGGAGAATGTCATGTTGACAAAATGTAAAGACGATATTCGCGGGCATCTTTCAAACTGCCACTTGTCTTGGGAAAATATCGAAGAGTATGAATTATAATCTTAGGGACGGACCATTAGATATTTGGAAGGGGGGGGGGGGTTGTGCAAATACCAACAAAAAAATTCGCTCACAGAAAACAATTCAGAAAAAAATATCGTGCACAACAAACCTATTGGAAAAAAAAATCGAGCAAGAACTAGGGCAAATTTTTAAAATCGCAATGCAATTGTTCAGAAACATTAAATTGGTGTTTTTCGAAAAATTTATGCTTTCCCCCGTCGACGAACTTTCCGGGAAAAAATTTTTAGGTCACGGCCTCTAAAAAAGATATCGTGCAAAGGAATCGTGCAGAAAAAAAAATTCTTGCAAGCAGTTGGAGGGTGAAAAAAAATTCGTGCACAGAAAAATTGCCCAACCCCCCTAGCCCCTCAAATATCTAATGGTCCGTCCCTTAGCCAGGGCTGGATTGTTTGATGTTCCGGAGTCAACTGGAGAAGATGGGGGTTTGCCCTCGTCACGCATTGGGGGGGGGGGGCATTGGGAGAGCGGTAGAGTTTTAGAGCTGTAGAGTTGTAGAGCTAGCTGTAGAGTTGTAGAGTTGTAGAGCTCTAGAGTTGTAAAGTTGTAGGGCTGTAGAGTTGTAGAGCTCTAGAGTTCCAAGGCTGCTGAGTTGTAGGGCTGTAGAGCTGTAGCGTTGTAGAGGTGTAGAGTTGTAAAGGCGCAGGGCTGTTGAGGCTGGTAGACTGAGCTGTAGTGTTGTAGAGCGCTAGAGCAGTAGAGTTGTAGGGCTGTAGCTAAGTAGCTTTGTTGCCACGGTCAGTGCCATGATTACAATTTTCAATTTGTGCTTGTCTTTAGAAGAATGCCAAAAGTTGGTGATATATAATATAGGTGTGTGTTTATAAGAGGTGAATATTCCCCGATAATCACTGAGCCTGAGGCGAACAATTGTTTTAGTATTTTTACACAAGCCTTTTGTGTTTTTAGGACTGAATTTATTTTAATTTCGCTTAATTTCTTTATCAGTAATGTCTCAATCAATTCCATGGGTTCCCAACACCCCCCCCCCCCGGGCGTTTGTCGGGCTTTTGTCATTTTGGCGAAAAAACGTTGCAAATGCCCCAGCATGGGGTCCAAATAATGCAACAAAATCCCCACCCTTGGGGACTTACATTGACGCAAATGCCCCACCCTTGGGGGACAAAATATAAGTTTTCTGAGGATTTCTGATCCAAAAAATCGAATCCAAGCTCTATCACGTATCAATATATCTGTATTTATAATCGATTCTATAGCCAATTACGTTTTAAAACGTTTTTAATTAAAGTATTGAAGTCTCAAAACTTTATATAGCAATATCAAACTGCAGAAGTAAGTCAATGTATCAACAAGATGGACAAGAAAAAAGTCTTGTGTATGTCCGCCATGATTAATTTGCGATACGCGCACGCTCGTGTAAACATGCGTACTAAAGTACGGCTAAATGGCGAAACAAGCGATAAATATTCGACTTTTTAGCCTCGAGCAAATTCCCCACCCCGGGGCTAACCTGCAGAAAGCAAATGCCCGACCCTGGGAACAAGTACAGTTGAGAATGCCCGACAAACGCCCGGGGGGGGGATGGGCAACCATGGAATTGATTGAGACATAACTTCCACAAAACGGCTAGCCGCCATTTTGTAAATTTCGGTTTTGTTATATTCACCTGTAGGTGAATATAACAGCTTAATACGTCACATTTGACCAATCGACTTGTAGGATTTGTTATGTTCACTTGTGCAAAAATACTAATTATTATTATTAATAAGAAAGCGATTGTTTATTATTGATATACCCCGCGTCAAAATGTTCAGCAAAGAAATTGACACCTTCCGGTTTCTGACAATGCTCGACTAATTAGCATGTAGCATAATTTTTTACATTTATTTAATATAGCAACTTAATTGCAGAATTGTAATCTTTGTTTATGAAAGGATATAAAGATTGTTACAAGTTTTACAGTTTAAACAAATGCCTGTATTCGCCGATCGATATTTCAAGCCGTTTGCTAATCGATTCAAGATATTCATAACTTGAGCACGCCCCTGCAATGAACATGGAACCACCGGTAAAAATAAATACAAAAATAAATGACCATGCAAGCGCGACACAAAAAATATTTGCGTATTAATTGCGAAACGTTTAATAAACAAAAGCAAAATAAAAGTTGACTTTAAAGTTATTTTTCAAGCAATGTTGCTGGGTGAGGGTTTTCAAGAAAAATTACGTTAGCAACGCATGCGTCGTCAATTACAGGAAAATTATCAAACTTTGTAGATTTGTGGCTATGCCCGTCAAGTGCCCAAATATTTTACGTTTCCCGTTAAAAAAACACAACTCTAGGTTTACAATGGTAGTAATCTGTACTTTGTATAAGGTGCCAAGATTAGTGTCATCTGCAAACATGCTGGCTGTTGTTGATTTTAAACAATTTGACAAATCATTTACGTATAGCAGAAATAATATTGGCCCAAGATTAGAGCCTTGTGGTACTCCGCAAGAAACTGTTCGACATTTTGATGTCATTTGGTTAACTTTACACATCTGTTTTCTATTCGTAAAATATGATTTGAACCAATTTAAAGTATTACCAACACAGCCAAACTTTTTTAGTTTTTCTATCAAAATAGCATGGTCCACGCAATCAAAGGCCTTTTTTAAGTCAAGAAATATAATGCCATTTAAAAGTCCTTTGTCCATATTTATATACCACTGGTTCGTATTCTACTTCGTCATCAACTCGGTCGTTCCGGAGTTGTACGAGAGTGAGTGCAGCGCATGCGCAAAACCACTTGTGCAGTTTGCGCGAAAAAAACCAGCCTCGTGTTTTTTCATCCAGAAGATTTTTGGAAGTTTTTTACTATTTCTAACCGTTGGTAATGTATCCTCGAAATAAATATCTATTTCTGTTGCAGTTTTTCAGCTAAGTATCACAATTTTGTCTTGTATTTTGCATGGTTTGATTATTTTTATGCTGTTTATTTAGGCAACATGGCGGCTCATTCGGATGACCCGAATGACCTTGAAAGTCGTCTTGATTATGACGAGTCTGACGACTTAGATATACCCGAACAAGCAAACAAACACCCTGAGCATGATCGGGCAGATTTTCATGAGTTCTTGTCGTCTTTACAGAAGACTATGTCTACACAAACAGCGTTATTGTCCATTTTAGTGGCCGAACGCCAAGACGAAAAACGAACTAACACCAGTAGTGTCCCGGCTTCGGCCAGCTCGAGCAAACGTCAGAAATATGACTCGAATGATACACAACCTCAAGTAGGCTTACAAGATATAGCTGCAGAGACAGCAACTACAAATGCTTCAGAGGAAGCAACTAACAATGCTTCAGAGGAAGCAACAAATTCGGTCTCAGAGTCAGACAATGAGCAACACACAAGTGAGCAAAATGACGACAGGTTAAGTGTACATGGGGATGAGCATGACCCTGATCTTGCCGGGTCAATGAGTGAGGATGAAGACAATACCAGTCTTCTGACAAAAATAGGTGAATCACTCTGTCCCACTGAGGATCATGGACCACAAGTTATTGAAAAACTTTCACAACTAGTGAATACTAAGTTTGTGATGGATCTTGACCTTGAAAAAAGGAAACAACTTTCTGAAAAGTACAAAACACCCAAAAATTGTGAGGCACTTTATGTGCCACGTGTTAACCCGGAGATATGGGGAAAATTAAACCCAACAACTAAGCAGCGAGACATAAAGATGTCAACCTTACAAGACCTCTTACTCAGAGTGTCAAATGCTGTAATTATCTCATTGAACACACTTTTAGACTGTCGAGAAAAACGATCAATTCCTGATTACAAATCTGTTATGTCTAACTTGATCGACTGCATTGCTAGTATTGCTCTTATTGGGCATGTTCATAAAGAACTTTCGTTCAAACGAAGAGACCAGATCAGACCAAGTCTGACAAATGAATTCAAACCAGCATGCTCTCGTAACAATAAAATAGAGAAATCACTTTTTGGTGATGACCTCTCTAAAGTCTTACAGGACTTAAGAGCAACAAGCAAGGTTGTGAATAACTTAACACATATGCCTACCAGTGGAAAGCCAAGATCATCAGCAAATTATAATTCAGCAAGCACATCACGCCCTCATTTTTTACCGCATCAGGGAGGGGCCATTACCCTCCCCGGCCCAATCGATCATACAGGCAAAATCAAGGCCCAACAAAGAAGAAGTTCATGAGAACATGAACTGTTTTCTTTCAGAGGTAAGAGATTTTCCCCAATTTGTTGATTCTTCTCTTTTGCCTTACCTTAAAGAAAAAGTCAACCTTTTTCAAGGAGGGCAAGTGTCCAAATTTTTAGATGCTTGGAAGCAACTTACGTCAGACAAATGTATCTTACAAACAGTTTGTGGTGAAAATATAGAGTTTATCTCCGAACCACCCACTCAAACATCCCATCCTCCCAACAGTATCTAAAAAGTCAATGTTGAATTGGTATTATTCAAGAATGTTATTCAGGAGTGCCATCATGCTCCTATAGAATTTATTTCACCAATATTCACTGTTCCTAAGAAGGATGGTGGTATACGTCTTATTTTGAACTTAAAAAAGCTTAATTCCTTTGTTGAAAATTTTCATTTTAAGATGGATAATATCAATACTGTGCTAGGCTTGATAACTCCAAATTGCTGGATGGCAGTGATTGATCTAAAAAATGCATATTATAGTATGCCTATTCACCCCGACTCACAGAAATACTTGCGCTTTACTTATAAGGGAAAGTACATTTATTACACCAAGGGAGGGGGATGAAGATGTCTTGAAAAAAGCTCATATTTTTACAGGGCCCCTGTTGAGGTTATTGGTAAATTTCGATGCCCCCCCTCCAAGTTTTTAAAATTTTCAATGCCCCCCTCTAGAATTCGGAATCGAGTGAGTACAATCCGGAATTCTCTCTTATCATAGATACAATTTGCAGTTCCTCAAGATGTCTGATATACTCAAGCATGTGCTTCTCCTCAAGAAAACTACCGATCTGCTGCTTCTTTCAGAGGG